CGGGGCGGCTGCGCGGCGCGGGCCTGGGGCCGTGGCTTCGGTGCACATTTCTGTGTCTCGGACTCGTTTGGACTCATTTCACTCGCGGTGAACTCGTTCATGGATAGCTCCTCGGAATTAAGTTCCGTTTTCTTCTGCTTAATGCCAACGAAATGCTCTTTTCAATGATATCTCCCCAGTCTATTTATCGTGAAAAGTAAATCCTCTCGAATCATTCGACCTGCATACCATAACCGAAGAAAAATCGAAAAAATATACGGAAAACACACAAAAAACCGAAATAGCACGAAACACACAATAAACACTAAAACGAGCTAAAAACCAATGAAAAGACCTAACATGGGGGAAAAAGAAAGACAAAACAAAAAGGAAAAACACAACAAAAATGGGACAAACACGCATCAATTATCGAAGGTCTAGATTATAACTTTGATCAGTAAATCTTATAATCTTATCCTTCCGCGGTCCTGTTTAATATTTAACATAAGTACTAGTGCAATCCTACAGTCAAAGACCAACTAAATCAAGACTACACTATAGTCTTTTCCAAACAGGAGTCTCACTGTCTGTCTAGACTGTGAACAATTAGTTTATACTTTACAAGGAACCAATAATATGATCTTTCTGTTCGACACGACGAACCATACTATCTACAATGTAAAATAAAAGAGTTATGATTGCATGAATAAATAAACTGCAAACATATATACTTTGACTAAAACATGATTGCCAGATCAAAACAGAATTATCAATATCTGAAAGCCAAGCTTTTACAACATATCCCAACAAGATGCATATTAACCAAAAAGAACATTGATATCACCATGCATAAAGACTTTGATGAGAAGTCTAGTTAAATATTACCACCTACATTTTCTTCCACCAAACTATATGTGAACTAGTGATTTCTTCAATTTTTCTCCAAAACCATGACAGACGAGGAGTTGGTACTTAGAGTTGTCACAAACTCATCGATGTTTTCATCTGAACTTCCACCTTCATCCATAGCTTCCCGAGCCAATTTCTTCCACTTAATAGCATTTTTCTTTATTTCCCCCTTTCTATCCCCTTCCAATACTTCCCTTATGCTACTAGCAATTGTCTCTCGACCAACAAGCCCATTATCATCACTTATGGCCCTAACGCCCATTTTCCACACGTCCATCACGAATTTAGAGTTCGTGCTCTGGTCAGTCCATTGTGGCATTGCCACCATCGGGACGCCCAAACTTAGCGCCTCTAATGTCGAATTCCACCCACAGTGTGTCAGAAAACAACATATGGCCGCGTGGGATAGAACATCTAGTTGGGAGCACCATGACACGATTAGTCCTTTCCCGGACGTGTCTTGCGTGATTTCTTGTGGGAGTTTCGTTTGCTCGGAAGATCTAACAACCCACAAGAAGTGCTTGTTGCTCAATTTCAGACCCCAGGCTAGTTCTCGTGTTTGTTTTTCATCGAGCACGGCCATGCTTCCAAAAGACACGTATATGACTGATTCAGGTTGTCTTTTGTTCAGCCAGTCCATACAAGATTCCCTCACGGGCTTGTAGACACTAAGACCGTAGTCTGTGTCATCTAACAGCTTCTTATCCAAGTACATTGACGGTATACTTGGGCCGATTGCCTTTACCGGAGAAAATTTTGCCATGTAATTGATCACCTGAAAAGGCACTAAAATTAGTGATTTCGAATTCCTTGCTAAAAACAAGTCCGATGCGAAATTTCACTTATTTTAAAGTAAAAAACAAAGTAATTAAGAAACAAATTAGTTTTTGAAGTGATAACTTGTTGGTGGCCTTGTTTTTGTTTTTATTAAAGTTTTTTTTATCAGTGGCACATTTAATAAAACATATAATATTTTTTGATAGTTGAGTATTTGTGAATTTGAAATCAGGTGGGTTAATTGGAATCATTGTTAATATTTGTTAGTTATCATATGTTGTACATAAAAACAATTAATATATAAGGAGAAAAAATACAAAAGAAAAAAGAAATAGATTCGCAATTTAAATTAAAAATGTTTTTTTTTTCTAAAGCTATCGGGTAAACAAATTCACAAATTATTAATATATTGATATTTTTTAATATGGGTAAAGGGCTAAGGGTTTGATTGTATACCAATTAATTTACTCATTTTTATTTCAACTCAAAATCTAACTCAACTTTAACTCAACCTCATTATTTTTAATATTATTCATATAATTAAATAATATAAACCAATCATTCTTATACATCACATCAACTTTAATTCACTATTCATCAACTCACATAATTTTAACTACCTCTCATTTCCAATCATTTATCTCTTCCTTTTACATCAAATCAATTTTAATCATTTTATTTTAAATATTATTTTAATACATTCTTAAAGTTCCACTAACAACTAACCATACCACCTTTTTTTAAAATTAATTACGGTTAACCAAAATAACTCACTTTGAACAAATTATTTCATAAACAATCAAACCCTAAGGCCTAAGGGCGCGTTTGTCTACCAGGTATAATTTATTTTGACTAACCATTTTTTTTTAAAAAAAATTGTGAACTCAAAATTTAATTCAAATTTAAATCATTTCAACACTCTTATTATTATTAATATAATTAAATAATATCATTCAATCATTCTCACACGCCACATCAACTTTTAATTCGCTATTCATCAACTTACTACATATAATCTCTATGATACTTTAATATCACATCAACTATTATCTTTACATTTTAAATACCATTTAAATGCAAAATAAAAATTTCACTCAATCCCTCACCCAATTAACTATATCCAAAATTAACTCATTTTAACAAATAAATTCAATTAAAATTCAATTTTATTTATATTTCATAGTGTCATTTACATTTAATGTA